CGGCGGCGGGCGCGGAGCCGCGGCGCGAGCGCCACCAGCGCCACCAGCGCCACCAGCGCCATGGTCTCCTGGATCATCTCCCGCCTCGTCGTGTGAGTAGCTCGCGCGGGGGCTGCGTGCGCGCCGGCCGAGCGGAGCAGGCTGCTGCTGCTGCTGCGGGGGGACGCGGGGACGTATGTGCCCATATATATATATATATGGATGTGCCGCATCTGTGCATGTATATGCACGGCTGTACCACATCTATGCATGTATATACTAGACTATGCCACAGCTATGCACACATAGATATATATATAGTTATGCCATATCAGTGCACACACATAGATATATATGGTTATGCCGTGTCTGTGCACATTTATATACATGGYTATGCCATGCATCTGTACCTATATAGATGCTTATGCCGTATCTATGCACATATATATGCAGTTATGCCATATCTATGCACACATATATGTGGTTACGGGGTGTTTTCCAAGGCGGGAGCCGAACGCCCCGGCGGGCGGCCGCGGGCAGCGCTGCGAAGGGCCGAGCCCCACGCGGAGCGGCGCGGCGCGGAGCGGCGGCCCCGGCGCTTTTTTAGCGGGGGCGGCGCGCGGCCCCCCGCTGCCGCCGGGGCTCTGGAGCGGCAATAGCGGGACCGGCTGCCTGGCGTCCTTGGAGCCTGGCAGGCGAACGCTGCTTGCGCTTGGGCCGTCGCCTTTCCGCACCCGGAGTGGAATTCCCTAGGAAGCTTCCCAGACAGTGGGGACAGAGCTGCCTCAGCTCCATGTTCAGCTGAGAAGAGCTTCAGGGAGGACAGGGCATTTCTGGTGCAGCCAGAAGAGGCTCTGGGGTGGGGGCGGATTTGTGCATAAGGTGGGGCAGGATGATGGAGCTGTCACCCCAGCTTCCCACTGGAAATGCGGCTGGTCAAGGTTAGCACAAGGAAGCAGGTGAAGGGGTTGCCATTCCCCRCTATCCGCTGCATGCGGCTCCTGACTTGGGATCATCTGTTGTGCTTCCAAGTGGCAGCGGGTCTGGGAAGGCCTCTCACTTTCTTTGTCTGCGAGAAACGTGCCATGAGGTTGCACTGTCAGCACAGTTCCTGGCAGGCGTTTTCAAGGTCTCCTTTTGCTGAAATGAAACATAGGAAAACTCAGCTTGAACCTGCCTGTTTCTTCATGTCATTAAGACACTGATACTGGTCAGATATGGAACATTCTGGGATTTCCAGAGTTGTGTTCAGCACCTAGACTGATACGATGGGGCTGCAGCTGCAGCTGTTGCTGGCCGTGGTGGCGTCTGGGCTTCACTGTGGGCAAGCCTGTTAAATACCTTAATGCTTCAATATGAGCAGCGTAGCTGTGCAGACGCTGCCGGCGACAGYGCGGGGCATGATGTGCATTGTCCAAGCTGCCTTCCTTTCCTCTCCGCTGGGCTGATTCCCTGCTTTGAAAAGCTGCTGTCGTGTAACCCAGATAATCCTCAAGAACAAAGGGAACCCGGAGAGAAATGGCAGGTTAACTTATTTGGCTTGACACGCACACGGCACACATACCCAGGTGATTTCATGCAAGAACTATGGACTGGGTAAAAATCAGGTAGGGACAAGGCATAACAGCTGTTGACATCTGCACTCAGGTAACTCACTGAACGTACAGACCTTCGTGTTTGCTTTGTCTAAATAGCAAGGTGCAAGTTACCAATGTACAAGATGGTCCCACTGACTTGCTATACTGAKGCTTCAATAGCAAAATAATAATTCTGATACGTATTCAAAGTACTAATCATTTAGTAATCAGGGTAATAATTACTTAATTTCCATTTTGCAAGATCTCCATTTTGCAAGGAAACCTAGAGTGAGCTAAGCTGGATCCCCACTCTCTTTGCCCAGCTACTTAGCTTAAGGACATGTCCATCCTTTTAAGATCTAATCCGATTTCCCCATCTCATTGTGAATTACCAACTCGTCTGTCAATGCAGAGAGCTCTGCCCTAAATAGATGGCCCCCCAGTTAGGGTTTTTTTTTCCATGCCCATGCCTCTTTTCTCCTCGGCTGGTGAGGATTACAACGGAGGTGTCGCGGTTTAAGCACTCTGTGGATCCTGCCCTGTGCTCTTAGTGCTCCTGCTCATCTGATGGGTTGGGTCTGACATGACTCAGCTAATAGAGAGGGTTCAGAAACCCAGAGTAGATCTTTACTTTGGCTCTTGGGCGTTTTGCCACTTCCAGCATCCCTGTTGTTCATATTCGAGTCAGTTTTAGCTAGAGGGTATGTGCCTCAGTGCCTGCCTTCATTTGGGGCTTGCACGTGCATTCCCTTAGCCCACTGCTGTGGTGCTTTCAAACTTCTCATGGTTTTGCTGTACCTGCCTCTGTCTTGGAGGTTTTTGTTTCTAAAACAGTGCCGAAGGAGAGGAGTCTGTGAGGGTGAGGCCACATTCCCTACCCTCTGCAGCCTGAGCCCTTGGGGTTTGTATTAGAGCTGGCTGGGAGGGCTCACTGTGCGCAGGTAACACCCAGCTGAGAGCAGCAGGAGCTGCAGAACAGCATCGTCCACGGCCAGAGCTGGTGCCAGGGAGCAGCTTTATCATTGTGGGGTCTGTGCTGGCTGCTGCACAAGTGCAAAACAGGCAGATAATCCTGTCCTCAGATACCTTACTGCCTTAAGAGCCTCCATTCATCCTGCTGGAGCCCACATACCTCTTTTACTCACCTCATTGAGAGCAAAATCCAAATATTCTTTGGAATTCTAGGTGAGTTTATTACCACGGGGTGCCCCTGTAACTGATGGGTGCATCCTGGAGTAATTTGTTGCTTTGTAGCTGGAGTGGGATAGTGCTGCTGTCCATGAATCCATTGATTGCAACCGCTTGTTCATCATCTCTGAGTAGAAAGGACATTCTGGAACACCCATATTTCAGTTTCCTCGTCTGTGAAGTGTAATGAGCTGCGCTGAATTTATCTGCTTTGAGACAGACCAGAAGGGATCAATGGCATGTCCTACGCCTACAATTTATTGCTATTAATTTTAAAGGAGATTTCTTTTGTTGTGTTTGAAGTAGTAAAGGCCACTCTAGTAGGACTTGGGATGTGTCATTGTCATTTCAGTCCGTTTTGACCACAATGTGCAACACTATCAATCCTAGATCATTATGGGTCTGCCATACCTTTTGGCCAAAGCATTTCCAAATTAAAAAAACATATATAAAAATGCAGCATATTGTATTATTGTAGAAAAGCTGTTTGTTTTTTTCTCCTGAGAACAGGTAAATTCATTTTGCACTTCGGGTCACACAGAACAGAACCACATGTTTCTGTTCCAGTTCTGGAGTCAGCCTTTTCACTTACCTGCTGGAAAATGTTTCAAAGGAAGGAGATGTCAGTAGAAGTCAGGCTTAGACCCGATAGATCATTGATAGTTGCAGTGATGTAGCATGACCTGAGCATTTGAATTTGTGTCATAAGGGGTTTAAAAGTGCTCTACAAATGATTACAAAAAGGTTTCCTTGTGATGAATAAACACAGCCTTACCTTTTTTTTTTTTTTTTTTTAAATCAAACCATCAGCAATGGCCTGCCTGATCTTTTGTGGCTTAATGGGGAATGGACTGGCTGCCCCAGATATGTCTACTGGGAATTTCCAGCCCTCTAGGCACGTAACAGGGATTATGGATTTTATCAGACACATCCTTTCCTCCAGCTGCCCCTGGAGYATGTGAGTAGGAACCGCACTGAGGAGGAAGCAGATGATTCCTTAAAGTGGTGACTGACATTTCCTTCCCTGTCTCGATTTCTCAGCTTTCCCTTTCTCGGTCCGTGCGGTGCCATTTCGGCTGGGGCAGGTGTGATCTGCCAAACCTGTCCTTGGTGGGTGTAAATCCACTGAGTCAGCCAGTGATTCCTTGGGAAGAAGCTGCCTGCACCAGTTAGGAGTTTCCATTCCAGAACAAGCCAGCAGAACCTTCTTCCGCCTGCTCTTCGTGCATATGGGAGGTTCGAATATTTATGAATGGAAAAAGCTCTTATAATAGGGATTATGTGACTGCAGAAAWTTGTTTTTCATATCCTCTTTAGCATAGGTAGGCAGAGACAGGGGTTGCTTGAGTGGGTGAGAGCTGATCTGGTAAAGGCCTGTGCTTTTGGTGATCACATAGTTGCTACATATCCATGGAGAAGCCGATGCTGATACAATGAACACACTTCTGCACACGTTATTTACCCTGTATTGTCAGAGTATGAGAAATTCTGTGGCATTTATTACTCTKCAGAGGCTTCCACGCCAATGATGCAGAGTGCGCCATGGGAGAGGACAGCGATGGACCTGGCGTGGCTTGAGGTCTTAGCAAGGCTACGGGATGAGTTTTCACATGCTCTGGAGCTGAGACGTGGGACGTGCAGCTGCACACGTGCAGAATTTGCTAACAAATGGTGTCTCTAGACAACAGAAGGGTGATCCTGCAAAAATGGTCCTCGCTTTCACCCCGCTGCTGTCTTTTCTTGCACACACATAAATGCATTCCCTGCAGAACTGCTGGTCCTTTTTTGGTAAGGGAAGGACATTTTACCAAATTACAAGTCGTGGAATGTAACTACTGGGCTTGACCTTCTCAGCTTTCATGCCTCAGGTACTTTCTCTTGATGGGGGCCTTTCCATTTCATCTCATTAAAGCACTTCAGGTTATTAATTTAGTCTGACATCATCAGGATGATGTTTGCTGCCATTTTACTGGAAAGGACACTCGAGGCACAGCAGGAGCAAGTGATGTGTCCAATATTCCATAGAAAACCTTCAGGAACTCGTCCTTCCTCTGGGCTCCTTGGTGAAGGAAGGGGGATGTGATTGAGTGGATCTGGGGTTGGGTTTTTTTGCCATTTGATTTAATTATTTATGATTACAGGGAAAAAGTTAAAGGAGAGGAGGAGTTGAAGCAAAAATACTGACTTCAGTAGATACTACCTGAAACAGTCAACCAAAGGCTTAAACAGTCTGATAAACCTTCCCTTCCAGTGGCCCATTCCTCACGATGTCATCAGTGTCATAGCCAGTAGAAGGCAGTAGCCAGACTACCTGATTTAGGCTACTGAGCYGGGCATCACGCTACCTA